AAAAAATATTTAGTTTCAATCTCTATTAATAATGAGCGTAAAACTTTTTAATATGTTTAAATAATAATTAAAACTTTAAAATTGCATTTATTTCAGACAATTATAAATATTATCATTATATTATCAAGTAAAAACGAGATTTTCAGCTAATTTTTCATTTTTTCCTCGATAACCATTTAGTGAATTTGAATAACCTTACGCTAAAGTGATTCTCCAGAGTTCAAGCTACTTATTATAAAAGTTTGAAAAATCTGGTAGCTTTCTTTCTGTTAATAAAAATAAATTTAATCTGTTCGGTTAACAAATATCCATAAAATGACGTGTAAAATTACAATTTTGACGGTTTAGTGAATCGATTTGTAATTTTTACAGGAGTTTCAGAATTGAATAAGGAACGTCTTTCCAAATTTTTATTTGTCTCGTAGCATTTTCACATACCTCCCAAACATCCTTAAGTACTGATTCATAATTTACTACAATATATTTCTTTAAATTAATTGCTTTATTATGCATATTATTGAAACTACACAATTGTAAAGGAATATACAGGGTGTCCCACGGTGACCACCCATTAGAATATTTCGTAAAGTACTTTGATTCGAGCATGTGTGGCAATTCCGGTTATACCGGAAGTTGCCACCAATTTCGTGGTTTTAAATGGAATACCCTGTATATTATGACAGTTTTGAATTCTACTTATAATTTTAGGTAGACTTTTATAACGCTTTCCTAGTTCTAATTTTTTTTTAAGCATCAGAGCAGTAGAGGTTGCGAAAAAGCATTTCTATTTTACAGTAAGAAAGCTGGAGCAACAATATTCTCAGGAAAGGTAGCTATACCCTCAAGTTTTTCGTTCACACTTTCAAAGTGGGTTAATTACGTACAGGGGTTAACTTTGCAAAATCAACTAAAACTGTTTATTTGTTAATGAAGATAGCTGTGAAATTATTAACAGAACTTCTAAACAAATAATATGAATTAATTATTGTCTTTTAAACACCCATACTAACAGTTTAGTAATTAAATATTTTAATTCTCAATTTCAATTATTGAATATTATCTACATAAATGCCATTATTTTAATTGAGGAGAGCATGCCCAATAACGGTATTGTCCAAATTTTCAAAATTCGAATCGAAATATTGTAATGGGTGGTCGCCGTTAGACACCCTGTATACATTTGGTAAATTAAATCTAATTACGTAAAAAAATACATATCGATTGCTGATACATATTTATAAAAATTGTGTAATTCGTATACGCAGTAGGTAATCATAGCAAGGTGAAAATTAACAGGAATTATGAAAGAACAAAAGTAACGACGATTTAAATCAGTATTTTAGTTTCAATGACTAGTTAGGAAACAGTATTTTTGGAATTAATCAAAAACTGTTAAAAGAGTTAACATAGCTGGTGCCTGAAACACACTGTATGCAAAGTAGACTTCCTGATTTTAATAATCACATCCTTGAAATTGGCAGGTACAACTTTCGCCAAGTTCACCGTTGAAGAGTAAACAGATGACCTGAAAATGTTACTTTTGATACAGTTAGTTCCTATCAGAGGACAGCAACCGTGACGCAGCAAAATTGTGTTCTGTTCGTTGTTTTCTTTTAAAATTGTGACTCTTAAAAATTTGAAAGTAGGTATAGGCTTATAGTAGTTCATTCGTTCCGTAATACTATCCATTGCTGGTTACGTTCCTCACCTTTTAAAACTCACGTTCAGTTAGTACTTAATCTAGGTCTACCTCAGCCCCTAACAATAAGAGAGAAGATAAGATAAGGAGAATGAAAAAGCCCTAAGAGAGATAATGATATCATCATAGGAGCAACTAGAGAAACGGAGAAGAGAAAGAATGTATATAGGAAATATAGTAAAGAAAAGGAGTTACGAATTAACAAGAGGGGAAGACTTAAAGAGTATGTAGAAGTCGAAATATGCAAAAGGGTTGAACGAATTTTTGTGGGATGAGTGACAAGGGGAAGTCCGGAATATTTGAGGGAAGGAAAGGATGTAGTGAGATTTAGAATGGGGAATGAATATAATGACAGCAAGTGCTGGATGAAAGAAGCGAAAATATAATGCAGAATATGTGGAAAAGAGAATGAGACGTTAAGACATATTTGAGAAGAGGATGCAAATGATAATGTAAGAGAAGGAAGTAGAAAATTGATAAATAAGAATAGTAGAGGGCTGACAATTTAAAAAGAAAAGAAAAAGGGATAGGGAGGGTAGATAAGAATAGTTAGGAAAAAGGAAAAAGTACTAAGGTATACGAAAAAGAGAAAAAATTGTTATCTTATTTGTTGAAGTTATTATAGAATTGTTTGTTGATTTGATGTAATAGATTTAAGGTGGAGTAAGATAATATATAAACAAGGAAGATTTTTGTTTTCTTTTTTGTTATAATTATAGATGTAGCATGAAGGATGGGAAGAGAAATAAATGAAATGTAAACCAAAGCAATTTGAATAAAACAGATATATAATTTTTAAATAAGTCAATTTTACAGAAAACCGTCATTCTATGAAAATTACCAACTTTTTAGTATAAAAACTTCAATTAGTAGAAGTTTAAAGCCTTGAACTTTCAAATTATACCGACTCTATTCAATGAATCATTCCATTGCTAATTATTATAGACAAGTGTATAATAGTTTTGCAAACACGAAGTTATGTAAAGATAACCATGCCAACTAAGGCAACGATTGCATTGATTTTGATGTAACAAAAAACGATTACAATGAATTGCAATTGAGGTGGCCGGTCACTTATGGATTTGCAAGTGCGTGCTTTTGATAATACAGGTGCAAACTGGGTGAAAGTCTTAAGCTACTGTCTTTCTTTATACGTATCTGATGGCTAATTCCCGTAATGAAAATGGAAGTGGATTTCAAACTAACCGATTCGATATTATTCACGTCAGTCTGTGCGTAAAATTCGCGGGACCATTGTAGACTTTATAAGTGTGAAATGGTTTATTATTTTTGTGAATTGTGAAGAACTTGTTCTTGTTTTCATTTTTTTTATGTTTTTTTTTTTATTAAGGCAAGTACATAGCTACAAAATGATACTTTTATAGTTCTATTTAAACTAAATTTTAAATTTTGAAAATTGTTCCTAATGTCAGGGGCAAACGTAAAAGTTATTTATAAGGGGTATTTTTTTTTTATGTTTTAGTCTGGGTGTTATTGTTATCAATAAAAATAACACAAAATAATNTTTTTGTATGTTTTTATCTTTTTCCGTTAGTTTGTGGGTGTGTATATACAAGGCGTTCTACCTAAGGCGGTTTCGTCCATAACACTGTTATACATTTAATAAAAAAAATGTCTTTATAAAAGTAGTCTGGAATAACATGGTGCACATACAGAAAATACATTCGGTCATACAGGGTGTTCAATTTCTTCTGGACGATATCTAACTTCTTTATTTTAAATGGAACACCCTGTGTATTTTTGCATTTTTTGTTTTCTTGGTTAATTTTAGGTCGACTTTATTAACAGCTCCTAATACCTATCTCTAGTAGTTTTTGAGATATTCAACTGTTTTTGAAAGAAAAAACGATTTTAGCTCTTTAAATGAGACCAAATAGTATTTAAACCACAAAAGCTACGAATTTGGGGTTTCGACAGTTCGTTTTGGCACGAATTATCGTATTGTTTTTGTTATGAGTTTTAAATATTTATCTGTAATAGTTTTCCAGAAAAAAATCGATTACTTTATATTTATTTAAAACCTTATCTTAGTAAAAGGTTGGTTTAATTTTGCATAGAACGGTACCAATTAATATGGTTCCATTTGAAAGAAAAAGTTATTCGTCTTGTAAAATGTAAAATTGCCAAAAGTAGGTTTCGATATTTCCGGCTTTGAATAACGTACACATTTTACTCATAGCAAAAAAGATACAGTAATTCGTTCTAAAACGAACTATCCAAACCGCAGATTCTTAGCTTTTATGGTTTAGATGCTATTTGGTCTCATTCAAAGGTCAGAAATCGTGTTTTTTTTCAAAAACAGTTGAATATTTCAAAAAATACTGAAGATAGGTAACTAATAAGTAACTAAAATTAAACAATGAAATAAAAAATGTAGAAATACATACTGTGTTTTATTTAAAATAACGAAGTTAGATAGCATTCAGAAGAAAATGAACAATTTGTATGACTGAAAGTATGATCATATGATTCCAGATCACTTTTATAAAGACATCTTTTTTATTAAATGTATAATAACAGAGTTATTGGCAAAATCGCTTTAGGTGGAACATCCTGTATTAATGTTTAATTATAATTTTGTGGTAAATAAAATGTTTGCAGAATAATAATATATACCTGCATGTATAGAGCGTCCCGAAAACCTTATCAAATTTAGAAATTGATTTATTATTGAATAATGAAAAAAAAGGCAATTTAGGTACGGTGACTTTTAAAATATTCCCACACTTTTTAAAACACTATGTTTTTGAATATATATGCACCTATTTTCTACAGAAGGTAGTGTTATTTTGAGTTGTGAGCAAAAACTAGAAGAAATAATTTTTCAGAAAAAATAAGATTCATTTCCAGACGTATTTTTAATAGTATTAGCAGTGATTTTTAATTAAATAATTCATTAATGTTTTTGCAACTAACGTTTTCATAAAATTCAAAAACAAAAACGTTTTTTGTATGTTAAAATTAAGTTTATGAAAAAATTGAAAAGGCGATTAATGTTTGGTTTATAAAGGTTATAAAAAAATAATTAAACAAATTATTCAAATTAGTTATACGTACATTGTACAATGTGCGTGAAGTAGTTGTATCAAACTATATTAAGTGAAAAGAAATTAATTCAAACTTACACATATTAAGTTTGTTTTATAATTGTTGTTTTAGAAAATCGGAGCTGAATAAATAAAAATGAACATTCGAAAGTTAACATCAAAAAAATTGCATCGTATTGTTAGTTCTTATGCACATGACCATTTGATAGAATGCCCTGTAATTGCTAACACAGAAATAGGGAAAGCGGGAAAAAACATTAGCGGCGATATAGAATGGAATCAGGCAGTTCCCTATCAAATGTTACCAGGCCCAAAACCGCTACCTTTATTAGGAAATAATTGGAGATTTATTCCGTTTATAGGTATGTTCGTAAATTTTATTAATATTAATACAATTTTTAGATTAAAAAATAACAACTAATTTTAAGACATCGATTGAATACAAAGCCAATGCTTTGTTATATTACAAATAGGACGTAAGGTTTAGGGACCATTTTGAAAATTTAAGCAGAGATGTGAAGAAGTTGTGGTTTAAGATCAAATTAAAGGGGTGTCCTATAAGTGTTAAACTCACTTAGTTTTTGAATATTAATTAATTCAGTTTTATGATCCTTCCTAGAAGCAAACCTAATTCTAATCTTCTCGTTGAAGATATCATCATTCGATATAAATAGGTAAAACTCGATCGAGAAATGAAAACATTAGCTGAGTTGAGTGCAGCTCATTAAATTTGCTATTTTATGTTTTTAAACGGACAAAAACCAGAAAGAAAGAAATCAGTGCGCAGAGCTATGTCATGCGGGACAGTTCAGTAGACAATATATAAAGGTTAGAGCTCGACCAGAGTCTCAGAGAATTCATTTGGTTTATTACTCAGCGCAGGGAGGACGGAAAATGGCGATTTTGCACAAGCACATTATGATTTATTTCAAATATATGTACCATATATAGAAGATACAAAACGTAAAACTGCTCTTCATTTGAAATATTACCTGAAATTGTTCTGAAAAATGCATTAGAAATACGAAATGCAAAATAAATTTTTTTTCTAAACTTTTTTAAAACAAAAGGCTTGTTTGCATTGTTGCTTATTGTTAATAGAACTGTTCTAATGTTTACTATAGTAGTTTATGCGGAAGTTACCACATATTTGGTGTTCGCTGCTCATATTTCCCGTAAAAAACAAATAATTTAATAATGGATATAATAACTAATAACATTTTAAAAAAAGTCATGCCCGACAACGGTTTTATGTTGGAGCCGAATCAAATTGTATTATCTGATGGAAATTAAACCTCAGTTATTTTTAATTTGATGAAGTCGAAGTAGAAAATACATTCAAAAACAAACCAAATAATATACATGTAGAGCATTGGTGTGTAAAGCCAAAGGTCCCGGGTTCGATTCCCGGCGGGGGTGTGACAACAGCAACAATTTTTCCCTCATTAATTTGAGGTAGTGTGTAGTGGGTAAAAATTCAGAAATGAATTTTCAGAATAATATTTCATANTTGAAAGCTATTTTTAGTTACAATCTGCAAACGCCTCGTCCTCAGATAGGGGATTCCTTAGAGATAAATGTACAGCTAGTTAAGGCAGATACAATAAAAACAACTTTCTTGTTAATCTTCTTCTGAAGTAATTGTAGTAATTGTAATCAACTCAGTAGATGAAACTATTGAGTTTTTATTATTCATGAGTATGTATAGGGTTTCTTAGACATTAAGGGAGAAAATGGCAGAGTTTTAGCGAAACAATTGTAGTAATTGTAATCAATACATTTCATGAAACTATTGAGTTTTTATTATTCATGAGTATGTATAGGGTTTCTTAGACATTAAGGGAGAAAATGGCAGAGGTAGACCAAGATTAGATTACTGTTCGCAAATAATAATTAGAGATGTATGAAGGTTGCTTTAGTTTTCTAAAAACATAAAGATTGGTTCAGATAGGAAGAAGTTGAGGTGCGTGCCTTTGGTATTTGTATGTAATTTACAATTAGAACTATTTCAATTAAATTACGCATCTGCATAGAAACATAACATTGTTCTGAACTTCAAGTAATGAATTGAGTACATTTTTATATACGGTTTTTACTACTTCTGATTACTATAACATAACGGTACTGCGTCGGGTAATTATCCTTGTTAATTCGTGAGTTGTGTGTATATTGTGAAAATTACGTATAACCATCTGTTGGCGTGAGCTATTCGCATCACCAAATAGAATAGAAATGGAACTAATTTTTGATGGTGAAAGTTGGGAGTTTCTGAAAGCGAAGAATTAAATTATGAACATTGCATGCTTAATAAATTGCAAAATTTAACAACCATAGAAGTTCTATTTAGTTTACTAATTAGTAGTGATAAGCAAAATTGATCTTGGTCTTGCGAAAATACGAGACCAAGCCCAAAAACGCAAGACTTAACGAAAAATTATTACTTCCGGTGGATCTACGAGTTAAACTATTTGAAATTTTCTGTTTGCTCTACTAGATTTTTGCATTAAATATAAAAAAAGAAAATTTACCACTGTTTGAAAAAAGGTATCTACAAGAATGTCCTCAGAGTAATTGTTCTTTGTTCCTATGTCTGGATAACACGTGGTTGAAATATGGAGACAAAGTATCTCTTTTCAATATTTTTTACTTCTTTCAAGTATCTTGTACTATTTTGTTCTCTAAAAGTTCTTAAGCGATAGAGGAAGGAAGAAAATTTGTGCTTATAAGAATTATTAAAAAAAACCTAAGCATTAGATTAAATGAGCATGACCAAGACTTAACACACAAGAACAAGACCTAGACCTAAACTTTATAAACAAGACCAAGACCGAGACTATATCAGCAAGACATATACTAGAAGTGATTGAGAGTCTTGATTTGCTCATCACTACTAATTACAATTTCTTTAACCCTGATAAACATAGATTATTATCAGGACAATATCATCATTATCATAAGGTTTCTAGCCAGAAGACTTGTTGGATACGTACATCCATTTCTTCCCATCTTAATCTAATCTTCGTATTTCTTGAAAATTTCTATTTACAAACACTAAACTAATCTAGGTCTACTTCTGTGCCTTTTAACTCCAATTTCTGCTTCTAATATCTAGCCCTTGATGTCTGTCAACCCATCTCGCCTATTTCATATTAACTGCCATCACCCCCCCCCCCATCGTTCTCCTACTCTTTCTAGTACTTCCTCATCTAACCTTTTCTATCCACGGCATTTTTAACATCCTTCTGTAACACCGTATCTCAAACGTTTCTCTAACTTTTCCTTTTCCGTAGCTCCCACGGTTTATGTTTTTCACCCATAGGGAGCCGTGCTCTAAACATATGCGTCTAATAATCGCATTTCCAAATTGACCGATCGCGAGCATATAAATGATTTCTTTTTTAAAGTGAATCGATTTTGCTCTATTTATTGTTTTGTATCAATAAGGATGGATGATCGAAAAAGTTGTTATTTTTCAAGAATGTAGAAGGCTCATTTAGTTTTTAATCGAGATTTAATTTTTATATGGTATATACTTACAATATTTTGGATTGTAATTTTAACTTTTCGTATCCTGAAAGAAAAAATTGATCATTTTAAGAGCCTGTTCATAAAATACGTTCGCAAATAAGGGGGTGGAGGTTTAAGGAAATTAATTTTATTTTATTGTTTTTTTTAACTTGACAGTTCTTAAAATTTTTCATTACGATACAAAGTCGTTCTCAAATACTCAAAATCCAGTATATAAACATATGTGTTTGGGGGTCGTGATGGTTTTTACAATTTTTTCATTTAATTTCAAAATTTGTCTTCTCCAAGGACCACCTAACTCAGAGGAAAATTCATGCGGCATTAACAAATTTTAATCACAACAATTTGTTTATAGAGGAGGTGGGGTAGATTTTGTGACGTAATATTTGTTAAGGGGGTCGCTGAATGTGTGACGAAAGGGAGGGAGAGGTTCAAAAAAGGTGAAATTTTAAGTGACGTATTTTATGGACGGCCCCCAAGATCACATTTGCGTCTATCTGCCTTTTCACGAAAATTACTGTGTAATGTTAATATTTTAACAGTCAAACATTATGATATATTTAAATTTTAAATTTTTAATGCTAGGCAATAAAGTCTGGCTGTAAAACTAAACGACAATAAATATATCTTCAAAATTTGTATACAGGGAAGGCGAAAAGCTCACCAAACATACAAACTACACGTTTCCTTGGCGGCGTTTTTCTGAAAATTGTACTAAACTAACCAAGCTCTCAAAATCTTCAAGGAAATGCCCATAAGGAAATGGGATTATACTTTCATTAGCGCTAATAGATATTATATTGTGCTGTAGGTGATTTTCAAATAGAGCACATCGATAAGGTGTCCAAAAGATTATATCAAAAGTATGGGAAGATAGTTAAAATGGAAGGATTACTTGGAAGACCAGACATGTTGTTTCTGTTTGATCCCAATGATATTGAAAAAGTTTTTCGTCAGGAGGATTTAATGCCATTAAGACCTTCAATGCCATCGTTAAATTATTACAAACATGTTTATAGGAAGGAATTCTTCAACGGAAATGCTGGTGTTATTGCAGTGTGAGTAGATGAGATATAAAACAACGTACGTAGTTTTGCAATTTATAGACACCATTATACATTGTAGAACGTTTTTACATAATACAAGTACTATTTATGGTCCTGTTATCGTCTGCTAGGCGCATTAAAAGTACTTACATATTTATAATTGGACAGGCTATGTAAATTAGCATTCGTTTGAACCAAGTTGTATCAACGTCTTTACAATATCATATATGCATAATTTAAGACGGATACGAAAAACGATAGGGTGTCCGATGAAAAATTAATTCATCATTTGAAAAACGTCATGCATCGCTTTTCAATTCGTTGTGCAAAATAAAAAATTGTTAAATTTAATAAATAATGATAGCATTTATGTCGAAAGCCAATCTTAGAGTCTGGCATATTACCGACAATTCATGTAGGTACAGGTCTGACGAAGGAAGCTGACGAGCGGTCGCGCAGGTACTTGCCCATTTATGACTTATTTGGGTAAGTCACTTGGAACCGATACACAAATAAGCTTTCACTGTCACCAACATCAACAATTAGTTCTTCTGTTTGTATGTCTATTACTTGCTCACTGATCCTTATTTTTAAGTATTTAATCTACGCCTCTGATAGGAATACTGAAGAATGAGGGCTGCAATCTTTATACCTAAAACTGCCTACTTTTGCCACCGCGCATCCACGCCATTTTAAAATTTCCGCCAGCTTCCAGCGTCAGGCCTGTAGTACCTACATCACTTCATGATATGTTTAATAAGCATATTCTAACCTTTAAAGTACTTATAGGTACCATTTGTCGATATTCCAGGTCTTATTTACCATTTTAAATTGCGAGATCATAAAAAGTACTCTACATAACATAATTTAATCTAACTTAACCTCTAAAGTGCATTCAAAAGTCAAGAGTTTTGTAATATTAAAGATGCACAATTTTGACCAATTTTGCACGACCTGTATAAAACCTTTTAAGTTGTAAAGTTTAAATATACTTTTCTTTAATTAACTGATTGTTTTTCACTTACTTATAAATCATCAAATCGTCTGATGCACAAGTAAACAAAGCGATGACGGAGTCACGAGTTGGCTGGATTCTGCTCATGATCGTGTGAAATTACGTCATTTGGTGATTTAAAAGAGTGTTTCTCAAGCTCTTGGACTGCAACCCCCTTTTGCAACCCATAATTTTAAAGTATAGAAAAACACTATCGAATGGGTTAATTGCAATTCAAGAGTCTTTCTCCTGTTGAAGCACTCACAATTTTGATTGATAGCTAATTTACAAATGTATCGTTAGCATCAATTAAAACACAGGTCATTGAAAAAGGAAAACACGAAAAGGGCACAATCACTTATGACGTAACTTGCAAAATTTGACCTCAGCATTGTCCCAGCACGTTAAAACTTTTAGAAATCCCAACCTCAAAACCCAAAAATGCTATTTTTGATATTTTTGTGAGGATTTCTCTGTGAAATAAAGGAACAAAACTACTAAGAGCCATTTTAGAAGAGAGACCTTTTGTCGCTCATTGCTCTAACACATGAAGATTTTCAAATATTTTTATTCCAAAATCCAAATGTTACCTATTTGACTTGTTGGACTTGAGCTTAGAACATGTCGAAATTTAATTATTTTAGGACAATTCTGGAACCAAATTCGAGAGAGTCTTTGAAAATTAAATAAAAACGAATGCCCTCTTTGTGTATCGATACAAATAAGTTAAATTCGTAATTGTCCTGCAATTCCCACTGATTTAGAAAATCTTGGTCAAGCAATTAAAATTCTCACCAAAAGAAATACAAATTTATGACATTTAAACAAAGTATTTAATTTCTTTTTAAAAAAATATTAAAATTTTTTCTACACTATTCATGGTATTTCTTTTTACTTATTATAGCTACCTTCGAAAATGGAAAGGTAATGTCAGAAATTTTAGTCATGTTCTTCAATATCAATTGATATTTGTGTTATCTAATGGTTTTATTACATTAATGAATACTTTTTNTATCTATAATTTTCGTTAATATCGAACCTTTTTGGTAATTAGAAATTTTACATAGTTTGACCGATTTTTTATTAATTTCTTTCTATTTTTCTTGTTTTTTAAAACGGTGTTAGGGTAGGTTTAAATTTTAATAATACAATATATTTTAAAGGTAAAAAGGTTCTAGGGTCAGTTTAAATTAAATCTACAATAATTTTTAGCCATGGAGAAGATTGGCAAAACTTTCGATCTAAGGTTAATCAAATCATGTTGCAACCTCGTTCCGCTAAAATGTACATGAAACCGATCAAAAGTACGGCGGAATCTTTAATCAGAAGGTAGGTTAATTTGAGCTTGTTTGCGAATCCAATTAATGCAGCAATTAATACCGTATAGTTAATTACTAATGTTAGATTTAGTAAGTACACATCTAATGTAAAAGGGAACGCTAGAAAGTGAGCTATAATAAAATATTATTACAAAACTTAGTTTTAAAGCAACAATTACTGTACGTACACGTTTCATAGGTTTCTTTTTTTAAAATCGAGTGTGGACTTTAAATGGTCGAGTCCATATTCGTCCTGAAGGCTTTTGTAAATCGCCGTAATCCACTGGAGTTAAATCCACTGGATCACGGTGAATCCCAAAAGCCTTTAAAATGAATATAGCAATAGCATTGTATCTTAGATAAATAAAACAATGTGACTAAAGAAATTGTCACAAAAATAAGTTAAAACCCCACAAGGAACTGGATATGTTAAGTAAATTAATAGCCAAATTTAAAAATTGGTGCATTATTAACTTCCCATTAGGAAGTTATTGTAATTGGGTCGAAAAGTGAAATCGGAATTTTCATTATATTTCCACGTTTTAACATATTAGTAGCATGCTAGCCAATTTTTTTGATGATGTGTGTATGTACGTACGTACGTACGTACGTACGTACGTACGTACGTATGTACGTACGTTCGTATGTCAGCATTTTTTTCGTTTTCGATATCTCAAGAACGGATTGAGATATCGCCCTCAACCAAAATTTTTTCGAAAGATATTATCATAATGAAGATCTGAAAGAAATTTGAACGAAATCGGTCAAGCCGTTTTTTTTTTATAAAAAAAAAAACGAATTAATTACAAACAATTTAATTAAAATACGTTCTAATCTAATCACAACAATGAAGTTACGGAATCAATAATAACGAAATATCATTATTCAAGACAGGGAATAACATATTATAATAACATATTATAATAAAAATTTGTTTATAACAAAATGAATTGTTATAAACAATCGATAAACAATAAAAAATAGTATTTACCAATTGACTGATGCAAGTACTCTATCAATTCGGTTTTCTCAGACGAAATACTGTTTCTTATGGGTTTATAAAATGACGAACTCTCAAACATTGTTTGTTATTTATTATTGTGCCGCGTTTTTTTCAAACTTTAGAAACGAATGTACTTTACAATAACTGTATTATCTAATGGGAAGTTAGTCGTATTAGCACCGACCAAAATGTGCTCAGACCAATTTTTTTTAATTAATAAAGGACAATGTCGTGTCGCTGCATTTCTGGGCCCCGCATTACTAAATACGTAATTATTTATAAGTATGACCTTTATGATTGAGATTTGTTTAGGTAGCATCTTGTAATTTTATTGCTATTGTGTCTTGCTTAAAAATATCATTATATGCAGAACTGTATGCATTATGGAGCCTTGGCCCAAATTTAATGCCCAACAAAAGTTAATTCTTCAATATGAACATGAATAAAAACAAATTTTGCTGGACAAAAAGAAAATAAAACAAAATCTTAAATGTCATTACACGTATTCTATGGTATAAACAACGTGATTCGTAAGTACACAGTTGAGGTGAAGCTTTTCTTGCTTATTACCTTATTAGGTATCCTGATCCTATAAGCTGACCTTAGTCCTAACTTTAAAGGTTACTAAAAGCCATTATTTTTGATCTGCTTTTTATTTCTTCTATCTCACAGTATCAGTTATTCCAATCCATTAAGAATAAATTTATACTTATCCTTTTGTTAAACGAATACTGTTGTAATTTACTTACAGTTGGGAGTACCTTATATTAAATAATAATTATTGTGTACGTATCTATATCTTATTTCTACTTTGTTTCACCCCTCACGAAACATTGTTATCTCTTTTTTATCTTCCATTTTCACTCGTGCACTGATAACAATATCTAAGTCTACCTCTATTCCTCTAAAGTCCTGTTTCTGCTTCTAATATGTCTCTAACTAGGCTTTTATGCCTGAAAAGGTGTGTCCTGTTTCTTATTGACTTTCATAGTGGCCACTTTTCTCATATTTTTTTAATGCATCGTCATTTTTAATGTTCTCTTTCTATGGAATTATCATCATTCGATTGTATCACCACATTTTGAACGCTTCTAACCTTTTCTTTTTCGCCGCGCCCACGGTATATATTTCGCACCCGTACAGCGCTGCGCTCCAGACATACACCGTTAAGAATCTTTTCCGAATTTCTAAATTAACCGTTTGTGGGCATAGAAGTGACTTCTTTTTGTTGAAGGCGCTTCGACCCTGCACTAGCCTCTGTTTTAGATTTCTACCTCATCTTCCTTCTTTTAAATTTTTCTCTTCCACCTTTATATTCACTCTTTTCTTAAATTTTCTTCCTTTGCAGATCAATATTGCTATATTATCTGCAAGTCTAAGCATACTAATATTTTGCCTTTGTATATTTATCCCTATAGTTGTCCTGTTTTTAATGATGTTTATCGCGTCTTCGATGTACAGATTAAAAAGTGCTAGCTATTTTAATGATTTAGCTTTAGTACGATCCTTTCAAGGGTTTTTGCATTAAAACTTTGTCGTTATAAGCGGGATATTTATCAGTGGCCTGAATTAAAAACCTCACGTAATATCAGAGTCATCGTTATAACCGATGTCGTCATAACCAGGTTCTGCTGTATTTCATTTTTTGTTAATGTTAATTTCATTTTCTTTTATGTCGCTTGTAAGTTTTGCGTTAATAATACATATTTAAGTATTCATTTTTTATTAGCACTTATCTCAAACGAAGCAGTTAAGGATAATGAATAAATATTGGCAATCGTTATGTAAACATAATAAAATTTAGTACATGCGTTTTCTATTTGTATTCCGCTTGTAGTACTCTACAGGTGTTTGCTGATTGAATGCTTCAAATGTTTGCTAAATAGCACTAAAATCTCATCGTTATTTTAGGATCCGAAGAATTCGAGATGAAAATGCAGAAGTGCCGGAGGATTTTCTTAACGAGTTGCACAAATGGTCGCTAGAGTGTAAATGTCTTTTAATATTCATCCATTATACAAATAAATAAATTACTGTAAGAATTGCACAAGTTGATAGTATTTGTGTAGAAGATTTGAGACAAAATAGGGTTGTAAATAATTGCATTGATAAAAAATAACTAATATCAATTATTTTGGTTTTGATCTTCTACACATTGCGATAAGGGGAAGTAACATGGAATCTATCTGTGTATTTGTTAAAATTATTTGTTTTAAATAATTCGAATAAAATAATTCGAAGTGGTCTGTATTCTGTTGAAACTGCCAGACGCGGATCGCGATTTCGATCTTTTTGAATCTCATCAGAGTTCTGTCGGAGCTGCCTGCGACGCGCTGATGAGATCCAAAAAGATCGAAATCGCGATCCGCGTCTGGCAGTTTCGACAGAAGACAGACCACTTCGAATTATTTTATTCGATTAAGCTAACGTGCCTATCACGTTGAGGTTGGCTACGCCGGGATTCGTTTTCAGCAAGTAGATATCCACAC